AACGATTTTCCTAGAAGCAGTTTAGCTAGAGAAGCAGCCAGGGCCACAGGAGGCACATTTCTTTGTCCATGTTAAGGTTTTGCGTAAATGTTCTGTTTTCTTGCCTTTCTTCATGAGGGTGAATTTGTTGAAATATTCCAGGCTTCATGACACTTACTGCCATGAGTTTGTGAGGCTTTCCAGAAAAGTTGATTTCATTTGAGTCTGACTCATTTTTCAAGAAGGTTATAAAACGCCTTTGGGTATTCCTAAGAAACTCTTTTGGAATTCCCAAATCAGGTTCTTTACACTGGATGGTTGAACTCAAATGATGCTTTCAGAAAGACTGGGATGGAAGATGGGTGACAGGAGATAGTAAAAAAGGGAGAAGAGAACCAGCATCTATTGAGTGTCTATGGAATGCTTAGCACTATGACTGGTGTTTCAAAGATGCTAGCTCATTTACCTTCCCAACAACTATTTGAGACTATTTCCCACTTTTCAAATTAGAACATTGAAACGGAGAGAAATGAAGATAACAAAGACAATCGTTAGCAAATTCATAATTCAAACTACAACTCAACTCCCACCAGTTCACCAACTGCTCTTAGAAGTTAATGAAATAGATATATTTTTGAATAACTTAGTATTGTGTATTAAAAACACATGGAATACTTTCACTTATCAATATTTTCATCATCATTATTACATGCTAACTAGAGGCCCACTGCATGAAATTTGTGCTTGAGAGTGGGGACAGGGCAGAGGGTTGTGTACTTTCTCACAACCCAGGATCACTGGCTCCTAACCGCTCATCTGCCTGCCTTATTGCCCCTAAGCACTCTGCCTGCCTGCCTGATTTCGCCCATAAAATTCAAGCTTCTTCTTTTTTATTTTTAATATTTATATTCCTTCTTTATTTTTTATTTTAAAATCCAAGCTTCTTGAGAATATGAGGCATCTAACCTTATTCCACATTCCTTACAGAGAGCTAAGCAAGATAAAAACAGCAAATGCTTAATACTTATGGGCTTCTATACAATCACTTTCCAACCAGAAATGTTTTAATAGGCAGCCTCCAGAGCTTGAACTGGAACTCCTAAAAGTAGAGAGCTCAGATTTCAGACATCAGGTGCTATTAGCAGGATTTCTATCCCAATTAAACTCTAATTCTGAGCTCTCAACAGTCTGGACAAACTGCCCTTCACTATATCCAAAGTTTCTTATTTGTCACTATCCCATTTTCCTCCACTTCAAACCAAGGTAACAAATTAAACTTTTAATTCTGATCTTCCTTGTTGCAAAAGAACAGCAAACCTTAACCTTAAATACTGCCAGACGGAGGACTGCAGGGCTGACTACCTACATGCGCAATAACAGGCTCACATTCTAGCCCTAGGCGCCCAGGTGTCCTCCACAATCCCACAATCCTCTGCTTGCACACTTCTGGTTTTTCTAGCTCCTCCTTAAGTGGTGTTTCCTTCAGTCGCGTTGCACCATCCAGGCCTCTGGTTGGAGAGGGTTTTTCTGTGTTGGTGTTGGTAGCTGTTTGCTGTTTGGAATGATGAAGTTTCGGGAGGACGGCCTCTGCCATGAACATGTCGGTCCCAGCGCACTCTGGGAAACAGCCACCCATTCGGTCCACGTTCAGGTTCCCAGTGAGAAGGTACTGTGCTGAGCCATTCCCATCAGATCTTCCTCTTCCTTCCCCAGCACACTCCAACCTATTCTGGGCCGACCACCCCAACCCTTGCAGACCTCCCCTCTATTTTTTTGACTTTCCCCCATCAAACTTTTGTCCTATCGCGTTGCTTAGGGGCATCCCTAACCACTCCCTGGAGGGTGGTGCCAGCCTGAGTGAAGGGCCATGGTGTTCTGGTTGTTCTAGTGTTTATGGCATTCCTGTCACTGGCTTTATATATATATATAATATCTATCCTTCAATATGCTAAAAGGAGGCATGGAAAGCTGCAACAAAGAAACATAGATCCTACCTATTTTACAATATATCACATTATAGAGGAGGAATATATTTTGAATCTCAGAGACGCTTTTATGAAATAGAAATATGTTACTTAAAAGCATGAACTCAGGGAGCCAGACTGCCTGGGTTTGAATCCCAGCTTTGCCCATGTCCTCACCTGGGAAGGTTTCTTTAACTGTAAGATGAAAATGCTAGCAATAACTCGTGTCTGAGAAGGCTACAGGGAGCATTTCATGAGTTGGGGTTCTGATGCCTAGAACAGAAACCAGGCACATGATACACATTCCACAGATGTGGGCTTTTTTCTTTGTTTTACATGTGGAGAAACAGGTGTGCAGTCAGCAGCTCGCTCCATGCTCTGCTATAGGCAGAGTTGGTGCTGACTACTGAGTACTGCAGCACTGGGCGGGAAACTAGACTTTCCCTGTACTGTTGCCCTACTCCAGATAAACTGGAAATGCTGCTACTGAGCCTGAAGGCCACTATCCACCAGGGGGGAGACGTATCAGCCCAGTTCCCAGATGAAGACTCTTTGCCAGGGTTCCGGATCACTCTGTGCTGAACCAGCTGTCACAGTCCTGGGCTGCCGTGATTCCCAGCATACCAAGAATGTTCCCAGACCCCGGGTCCACAATGCCATAGCTATAATTCTCAAATCCAAAAAGCTCTGAATTCTGAAAACTTTTTGTAACTTATTTGAGCGCAAAACTTGTTCAGACCTGGACTTATTTGGTGACAAAACACCTGAACTGACATGAGTGTTTATTGTTTGTATTCATCCCTCATGGTGTGTGTATATTCATACAGCTCACTGCAGACGTTCTAATGTTTTTGCCTACGGGATACTGCCTAAATCCCTGATGTGTATCAGTCAGGATCTTGGCCGGAAGAGATGGGACACTCAGGAAAGAAAGGTGTGGGTAGGGATTTTGCAGGAGGGAAGATGGAGGGATTTCTTGATTAACCAACCGCTGCTACCACCCCTATATCTGAAGGGCCAGGTAGAGGGAATGTTACAGGACTTCGAATAGGGGGAGAGTTTAAGAGGTAATCTATGAAGTAATTTATGTCAAGGAAGGATTGCCACCACCAGGCAAGAGATGGTGATGGGAGAACAAAGACAGTAGCAGTGGGGATAGGAGGAAGGGTTGGCAGCAAGGATTGATAGGTTTGATAATTGGTTGGAAAGAGGAGTCAAAGGGACGCAAGGGTGTGTAACACTTGAATATACAGGAGAAGAAGAAGGGTTATAATGCTGGCGTGAGGGAGTGCTGCTGTGGTGCTGGACATCTTGAGGGAGAGTTATGGCCAAAGTGCATTCAAGGAAGTACCCTGCAGGTATTTAAAATTGTGAGTCTGTAGTTCAAAAAAAAAAAAAAATGCCAAGGAGAAATTCCATACCCATAAAAAGTTCCACTACTATAATTCCTATGGCAGTTCCAAAATTCAAAAAGCTACAAAAAGTGCACATTAAAAAAAAAAAAAAAAAAAAAAAGCTTGGTGCCAAAACTTATTTGGGGATAAACCTGACCTGAGTCGATGTGAGACTAATTATAGACTTTATTGCACTTAGGTTCAATTCATTTTGCTACAGAAAATGTTTAAAATCAGGGTGCTGTCTCTAATTGTCCTGGGTGGAGGTTGTTCTATGTTAAATGTTGCATGCACCAAGTTACATTTAAAATGAAAAAATATTAATTGATTCTGAAATGTAACTGGTGCCAAGGTTATAGATGAGGCATTGTGGACATGTATCAATACGTACACTATTTCTTTATTATGTCACATTTCAAGAAAGTATGATCATAGTGTTAATGGATTTGGCATTACACACAGTAGGTCAACAGATGTCTCTTTGTGTCTGCAAGTTTTGGGGAATGGAACCGCCTTTGCAGTGAATGCCTTTTCCATACACAGATGCTCGGTAAGTTTCTTCAGTCATAAAATTCGGATAATGATGCCTCAGAGAGTTGTTTAAAGAGCTAATGTACAGGATCCAGTACAGGAGTATTTTGGTAAATGTTAGTTATTATCCCACCCTTTCTTTAATCAACAAAACGTTTTTTTTTAAAAAAGCATTTTGGGTGAAAAACGTTTTGCTTTCCCAACCTCTGAGACTGCAGTGAAAACAAATGAATCCCCGGATGGCTGTAAAGGAAGTATCAGAGAGAACCATGTTTCTTGAGAACTTAGCATGTCGTTGGCGCTCTTAACCCCACAAAGAAGAGAGAATATTCTTTCCCCCTTTCCCAGATGCAGAAACAGATTCTGAGATGGCAAGCAGCCTAACAGGCCATCTTTCCATCCTCCCTAGCTCCCAGGGGAGTGAGTGTAGGAGACAGTGGGTAACACACCTGGTCTGGGTGTGAAAGACAGAGTCCAGGTAGGCGCCTTCCAGCCAGCCACTCCTCAACCTCCCAGCAAGACCTGTGGAAACAGCATGTTTCAGCTCCCTGAAAGCTGCCTGTTAATTTGATCAGGACTGGGAGGAGGAAAGGGATGTGGGAGTGAGGTCAGAGCCTGGTTGTTGTGGCATTGAGGGCGAGGGAGGGCCATGTTCTGCCTGCTGTAAGCAGGAATTTACCTGCCCGAAAAGGAAATCGAGTTTATTGTAACTCGACTAAGTACACAGCCACGTAATCCGGTTCTCCCATAGTTGATGTGGATGTTTTACATGAGAGTGGCATTTTCTCCCTTTCTTCCCAGACCACAGAGTGTGGACCTGGCTGCTGTCCTGCCCAGCCGGGGCTCCCAGGCATGGTTTCCTTCTCTCACTCCGGGCTACCAGGCAGGAAGTGTCCCTAGCTATTGGAGGATAAGCCTCCCGCTGTAAGGGGGGAGGTGAGAAAAGGAAAAGGAAAAGAAACAAAGCAAGGGGGGAAAAAAAAGAAGAAGAAGAAGAAAAAACTAGACTGGAGCAGCTCGCCGGAGCCCTGAAGGATCCCAGCCGGTTTCCAGTTTCCTAGAGTCAGGGATCCCACCCCACCACCGCCTCCTGGGGCCCCCCACCCCCCTCCAGGGCTGCGGGGCGGGTTTTGCAATCTATGCTAATCGGGCTGCCCGCGGGCGGGGCCGGCGGCCCTGACAGCCCGCGGAGAGCCCCCGGGAGCTGCACGGGCCCTGCCTCCCCGCCCGTGACGGGGTCCCGGTGCTGGTCCATGCTGGTCCCCGCCTTTGTTCTCGGGCGGGAGCCGGGACATGCGCGGCTGAGGATGGAGGTGGAGGACTCGGGCGGCGTGGTGCTCACCGCCTACCACTCGTACGCTCGCTCCCAGCCGCCCAGCGCCGAGCCGCGCTGCGCGCCCCGCGCCGCCGCCAGCCTCCCGGGCAGCAGGTACCGAGCGCTCCGCAGGGAGCCGGGCTTTCCGGGCTGGGGCTGGGGGGTGTCGGCTTGCCCCCGGGGTTCTCAGCCTGGGCATCCCTCCACCACCCCTTGCCCTCGATCATTGTTTCCAGTTTGGGTGGACAGGGGAGGGAGCCTGCTGCTCTTTGTGTTGCTCTGGATTGGAAGTGGGAAGTGAGCGAAGTCGCACCCGCCTAGGCTGAAGGCAGAGAGCAGTAGCAGAGGAGTTGTGTTCTTGATACAACTTGGTGATAGCAGGCATCTGCCTCCTCTTTGCCAGATGCACCCATGGAGGTATGGGAGAATTTTTTTTTTTTTTAAGCATTTAAAGTGAAACACAAGCAGAAAGTAAAAAAAAAAAAAAAAAATAGAAGAAGAAGAAAAAGAAGAATTTACAATACGTTATCCTAAATCCTCGAATGTTATCCAGAGCTTCTTGAGTAGAGTAACTCCATGCCACCTGGACTAATACAAACTAGATGGAGAGATTCTCCAAAAAGTAAATCTCAGTAGACGTTTATAAACAATTTTATTTATAGATTAAAAAAATACTTTCCATTGTATAAATACATTGGTATTGTTTTATTATTGCTAATGTTGACTATTCTTTAAATGCACTGATAACATTTCTTTTGAGTCAAAAGACCTCTAACCATCTCATTATGTGCAGTTTGGATTTAATAAGTCAGGAATCTGTGTTAAATTACTCTATCAGTTTCCATCTATTTGATGCAAGATCAAGGCCAATGGAACTTCCTTTGGGAAGTTTCTGTGGATAGACAAAAGCAGTTCACTGATAAGTAGGATGGTTTGATATCTGACACTTATTTAGGGGAAATTTTAATTGTTTAAATGTTGCTATTTGGCAGGGATGGATCCATTGATGGTTTTCTTTCCAAGTGGGGAGTTTTGCATATTTATTTTAAGTCATTAACTTTTTCTCATGCTTTTTAGTTATGTGATAATGATTACTTGTTTCCTAATTGAATGGACTTTGTGAGGCTTTCAACAGATTGTGACTTTTATTTCAAGGAATATCTTTTTGGCTACTTTCCATGACAAGAACAAAATGCCTTGGCATGAGATCTGTTTGGGGCTTGACTAACAAAGAAAATATTGTTTCTTCCCAAAAAGTGCAGGTTGAGTAAAATCTAATTTTTATATCAAGACAATGAGAAAAGAACATTTTTCTTCCAGTCTTAGGGGCTGTGCACATTATTTTAAAGGCTGCTTGAGCACACAAACTTGCATTTGTCCTTAGGGTGTTTTCTAAGCATAATCATTGACTCTTATTACTCAAATTATGAGTACGGAATAGATATGAGTGATTTGATGAGAAGCTGGGGACCAGCTTGTGCATTTTTAGATACAGCTGATAGGAGGCATGTGCCTCATCTGGTAGAGCTGTCCTGTCTGTAGCTCCCAGCAGCTGTCTAGGAGCAATAGCCAGATTGTGCCATTTGGGCTGCTTGAAACTACATCCGTTTCCAAAGCAAACTGGAGGAGAAGTTCCATTAACTCAGCATGTGGCCTTGTGGAATGATAATACATGTGAGCAGAAGAGTTGTGTGTCAGAGCTAGCTAGCGTTTCACTATGCCAGTTGCCCTTAGATTTATGTTGCTCCAAGTTTGCATTTTGTGGTGACTGCCCTGCCCTGCACCCTCTCTGTAGGGACCTTTGTGCCACGCACCCTCTGATGCAGGAGATAGACGACCCCTGCCTTTGCCCTGTTCCAACTAAGTGACCAGAGAATGGCTTAATTCCTTGGTTCCCAGTATCAGCAATCAAAAGGGGGTTCCTGTCCTTAGAGGAGCCAGAGGACATCATCAATCATGAATCAGATAACAGAAATAATCAAGCCTAAGTTATTAACCTTTGACTCACTAACTACTGATCAATGCTTTCTTTCAAGCCAAGGAGCAAGATCTTATTGTTCTCCTTATGAAGAAAGCTCTCTCTCTCTCTCTCTCAAGAAGACCCTTTTCTTTAAATTGCTTACATATGTGTGACATATTTGTGGAGCCGTGAGCAGTATGGCACTAGGAAGCATGGGCTATTGTACCTAACTTCCTAAGTTTCTTTCTTCAGCTCTGGGTGGCATGGGCTCAATTCAGAGCAAACCATCTCCTTATTTTCCAGTCCTCCACTCCATCAGATTGTGTGTGCTTTTGTTTTCATTTGGCCTGTTTCTCCCACTAAAATATGATCCCCTGTTTCTTCTCTCTTCCCTTTCTCTTCACTATTGTACCCGAAGTGCCTAGAACAGTGTCTGGCACATTGTAGTAGGTCAGTAAATATTTGGTGAATAAATTGACAAATTCCTATCACATTATATAAAATGGCAGAGGTGGTAACAGCAGAAGGCAATCTTTTTGCACCTACTATGTGCCAGCAGCGCATTAGGTATTAGGCAGACAAAGATGGATGAGATAAAGTCCCTGCCACGAGAATATGGCTCTTTACCTTTCAGACCACTAGGATTTTTAGGAAAGGATGGAAATAAGCAGTAACACTCTGAAATTAAGACATAAATCCAGACTGCCACCTTAAGAGAGAGAGAGAGAGAGAGAGAGAGAGAGAGAGAGAGAGAGAGAGAGAGAGAGAGAGAGAGAGAAAAGAAAAGAAAAGAAAAGAAAAGAAAAGAAAAGAAAAGAAAAGAAAAGAAAAGAAAAGAAAAGAAAAGAAATAAAATCAAATGATCCAGCAGCTTTGGCCTCTGCTGTGCCTGCCAGCACTCGCTGAAGCTGACTTAGTAAAGGCTGCTCAGCCGCAAGCTTCTTCCTGTTAATTTTCTACACTGAAGCAGGGTGTCCATTGCAATTTCTTCCGGGGCCTTCCCATTGTCTTTCATTAAAGTCAGTAGCCAGGATGAAGCACCAGTTACTCTGGCTTGGGGTCAGACTCCACCTACATCCTTCACAGCCATGTGGCCTTAGGCAACTGGCCTCAGCTGCTTAGAATAGTGTCCGATTCCAAGGAAGCCTCTAGTTCAGGCGTCCTCAAACTTTTTAAAGTGGGGGCCAGATCACGGTCCCTCAGAGAGCTGGAGGGCCGGACTATATGAACTACTAATTCCTACTGTAACACCTCGGCTGCGCTCACTGCCCAAAAAACCTGGCGGGCCGGATCAGACTCCTCTGCGGGCCGCATGTGGCCCGAGGGCCGTAGTTTGAAGACGCCTGCTAGTTGTTAGCTGAATTATTACTATGATCACTTTTAACCACAGTTGTTGATGTAAGGAGGAGAGTAAGATAGTCTTGGTACCAATCCCTAAAACTTGCTCATGCAGGAAAGAGTACTAAGTATTTGTTGGGAGGAGAAGTAATTCTTTTTTGCAAACATTCGGTCCTTTACATTTTATCCTGTAAAGAAAAATGAGAATGAAAGCTTATACATTCTCAGTTCTGTGACAACAAATGGTTGGAATTGTCTTTAGAATCATGTGCCTTTTATAGAGGCTAAGTTTCTATACCCTCATTCAGAGTCTATAGTGAACATGTTGACATACATACAAAATAATTTCCCTTACAAAGTGGAAAGAAGCTGAAAGGAAAGCTGGATATCTTCAAAGATCTTCTAAGTTATATACAGATAAAGTACACCACATTTTTCTGTGAAGGTGTAGTGTTAAATGGCCACGAGTATTTCTTCTGTTTATCTCATTATGCCATAAACTTCCCGAGAGAGGATAAAAATAGAAGAAGCAAAGAACCAACTCTTCCTCAAAAACAAACATAGAAGCTAACCAAGCTTACCCTGGGCATTCTGATTCTACAACAACCTTAAACTTTTGTAAAGGGGATGTGATTTCCTCATATCATAACTAGAATGAGAATGATTATATTAAAATGATGACTGGAAAGTAACTGTTTTTGTAGAAAAGACTACGTTTAGGAACTTTTAAGGACATGTTAATTGGTACTTTCCTGGATTGAAATCAATGAAAAGACATTTCTGTGAGCTTAGGGGCATGTACATAAGCATGGCAGTTGGACTTTATCTAGAGGATTCAGCAATAATAAGGGAAATAGGAGTCTTAGGAGTGAATAAGATATTTATAGGTCACTATGTGAGGGCTGAAATCAGAGTTTTCGTCTCTGGTTTCTTTTTACAGGGGCCCCTGCTGAGCGGGGTGCCTCCCTGTGAGGAGCGAGTGGAAAACATCTGGCACACTTCCTTTGATCCTGTAGTTTGCCCAAACATTTGGCCAGTTGCTTTGTCCATTTTTAACCTACTCAGTCCTCCCTGATCATTAATCCTTCACGTGCCCACAGCATTTAGAGAACTTAGGATGTTACAGAGTCACTTTCACGAGGATAGAGATGACATCTTTTTCTTAACTTTTACGTTGATATACAATATTAGACTTAGAGAAAACTTTCGGAGGTAGTTCAGTGAGTTCTGTGTAAGCTTTTCCCAGCTTCCTCTATGTTAATATTTTGCAGAACCACAGTTCCATTATAAAATGGGAAAATGAATACTGGTAAAACGCCATTAACTAAACTATAGGCTTTCTCCTGGTTTCACCAGTTTTCCACTGGCACCGGAATTCAATTCTGTGGTAGAATTGAAGCCAGGATGGATTTACTCATGCCTCCCAAACCTCTACCAATCTGTGACAGTCTGTCCTTGTCTTTTGTGACCTTGGTGTTTTTACAGCACATGTGTCAAACACAAGGCCCTCGGGCCAAATCCGTCCCGCCAGGCCTTGCAATGTGGCCCGCACCGCGCTGTCATCACTGCACTCCACTGCGTTTCCATTACAATGACGGTTTATGACTGTTCAGTAAATCATTCGGCCCGCGATTTAGGCTGGATTTTAGATTTTGGCCCCTTCTCTGATTGAGTTCGACACCCCTATAATTTAGAGTATTGATTGATTGTTTCAAAGAAGTCTCTGAACTTGGATTGGTCTCATATCATATCATGATTAAACTGAAGATATGCATTTTGGGTGAGAATTCTGCAGAATGATGTTGGGCCCTTCTCA